TTTTAATTTATCGTACTGGAATTTAGTTTTGCTGTTGAATTTCTGTTTCTTCTTTTTCCCCTCTTCACCTTTAATTTATTGTAACTTAGTCATACCCTTGAATTTCTATGGTTCCTGCTCATGTAAATCTCTTGCCTGATTGAGCATCGGCGTTGAATAGAATTGAATCCAAGTAATTCATTATGGGAAAGTAGGGAGATAAATTTAGAATGGTGGGTCTCACTCTTAAGATATGGTAAAAAATGGGGTTTTGTAGATGTAGTTCACGTTATAAGTTAAAATCAAGTAAACAATTTAATATTTATTATTTTTGCGGTGTGAATTTATTATATTTGTCAATACTGTATCATTGTATATTAATTATATATTAATGGTATATTCTTTATAAATTTTTAGTGAAGGACTTTATATATCAATAATAAGCTTTTTTCATATTAACATGGATCAGCTGCATTTTCAAAATTTTAAAAATTTAATTTATATTTTTTTATCACGAGATTTTTTTCAGCTAGCAGGGTTAAAAAAAGTGGAGTCCATTATTGTCAATATGTGTTTTTTTTTTTTCACCTTTATACTTCAAAATGAAGGATGCGTTGGTTGCTAAAAGACTAATCTTTCAGCGTGGAGTTGCCCTTTTTCAGAAAAAAGAAAAAAAAAAGACGACAATTTTCCTTTAAAAATATAATATTCATGGCTAGTGAATATTGAATAATTTGTTACAAATTTTATATTTTAAACTGATATTAATTATGCAATACCCAAAAAGGGAAAAAAAATACCGTCTCTTTCAAAAAAAAAAAAAAATCCTATTATGGATGACGTTTAATGTCATTTTCCTGATCTAATTCATTCAGAGTCGTTTTGGACACAATTAAACAGAGCAAGATAAAATACAAGTGGAAAATAATCTTGATTATAGAACCATAATAAAAATAACTATGATTGAATAACAAAAAATATAATTAAGTTTGTAATTCTGACTTTATATTTATATGACTAATGAGGCTCAATATTCAATATAATGCCTCTGACATACAATACATAGCAAATTACTTTATTTATTAATCATGTATAAGGCCATTGAGATTACATTTTATACAATGTATAAAAATTAAAAAATATATCTAGTTTCCATAATAGTGGTTGTCAATCATTCCTGCCATTAATTGTTGAAAAGAAATAGAAGGAAAGTAATATGCTCCTTTACATATTAGCTAACAAAATATTTAAATAACCTAAAGATAGCATCTGTGAGAAATTAATTTGTAATTTACGTGTTTTTAATTTGATTACAACTAAATTTTTAAAATTTAATCTGATGTAACTAGATCTCTCAAGTTTAACCATTTAATTTATTGGTTCATCCACTTTATAACTTGGTTACAACTTCGTCTTTCTTCCTGAAAAACTATGATTTTTTTTTTTAATATGATGAAACTCGAAGAACTAAGTTGAATGAGTTAAGTTTCAGAAATTAAATTGCAACTAAATTAAAATTATAGACACAAAATAATTTGAATATCTTTGTTAGTGCGATGAGCAAAGTAACCAAACGTATGCGAAAGTTAAAGGAGGTAACATGCACCACGCGGGGAAGTAAAGCTGTAAAATTAGCATTTACCCATCAACTGTGTTAACGTTGAACGGTTGTTTGAGAGCAGAGTCAAAGCATTCTTGATGTAGATACCCTCTCTAGACAGTCGTAACAAGTCAAACTGAGTGGCGCTTCGCTTTTTGTCGAAGGATCAAAATGATCCTTCCAAACAGATCACATGATATGCTCCAAGTCTCCAATTCTCCGTTTGGATTTTAACCATATCCATACTCGTCCACAACGTACTCAGTCCCTCGCATCATATTCCTCTGTACTTTTTTTCCTTATTCTGTTCCCCAAGATCCTTACCTACCTACTTCTGTGTCTCCAACTCTCCATACATTTCACCTATTTTGTACTTTTTCCTGAACCTGTTTCCTACGTTATTTCTTGTTGAATAAATACCATGAAATTTCATTCAACAGAAACCAAGCAAAGTTCAAAACAACAACAAACAACAAGAAGCATTATCCACCAGCTGTAACCCTGCTTCATTTCAGACAAACACAGTGCTTGCTTGCAATCTCTTTTCTGTTTTCACTTCCATACCAACTTGGTTCTTGGAATACGCATTCCCTCTGATAAGAAAGTAGCTGAAAATTATTTCCGTTGTATCCCGAAAAAAGTAGCTGAAAATAGGCAAAAGCAGAGACTGTTGAAAGAAGAAGAAGAAGCTGCTTGAACCCAGAGAAGCTAACGGTCAGGACATGGATAACTTTTTATGGGGTCAGGTCATTCACAAGGCGAATGCCACTATTCCTCTTCTTTATGAGATTCTTTGTACGATGAAGAAGGATCACCTGAAGGAGCTATTTGAGGCTGTGAAGCTCGGTGATTGATTCTGAAGTCTGGAAGATCAAAGGTGCCCCTGAGGTTGATATCCGGAAAGCAGAGGCTGGGCCATGTAAATCTCTGGTAGGCAATTCCCAATAGTGATGGAAAACTTTGGTGCAAAGTTTATACAGATAGTTAAGTTCATGATTCTAGTGGCGAAGAAACGCATGATGCATGGACTATTATCCCGAGATCTAAGCCATGTATTACAAAATAAGCTGCTAGAATATTCTTCTAAAATATGAAACTTTGTGGAATAATGTCTAGTTTACAGTAATAAATAATAACCCTTGGGAGTATTTGTATGAAAGCTAGAGATGTACAAGGTTTGTTAGGATTGAGTTAGTATTACATTGGTATGGGCTCTTGAGAAGTAAAATAACTCATACCAAATCATCATTATAAAGTAGTAAAATACTGAACTGATTTGAATTAACTCTATGCACATGAACCAATTAAAGAAAAGGAAAAGACAAGCATCTTGTCTAAAAATCTAGACAAAAATACATTCTGTAGTGCATAGCCTCGTGCTGAAAGACTGAAGGTTGTCAATTTCGCTTCCTTCAGCAACTAATGGAAACGAAGGATCTGTTGAAGCTATCAATCTTTCCCTGCAAAGAAAATTGCAAATCTTTGAATCTGATCTCCATTCAGAAACTACCAAAAACTCACATACTGAAGGAGCATAAAAATGATCTTAATTGAAAATTCTTCATCTCATCATATGCACATGATTTATAATTCTTCCTTAACATTTAGGATCTTAGAATGTAACTACCAAGAGAAGATCATTTGTCACTTGCTCCTCTCATACAACATTTTTTTTTTAACTCTTGTTCTCCCAAGCAACATGAAGCCAGTCATAAAACTCAAGTTAATACAGACATAAGCTTCTGACGTGTATTGTGTAAGGCTCATATCATTTTGTTCAACTATTTAGTTTACATGGAATATGCTAATGTGGTAGTCCAATGAATTAAACATGTTTACTAAACTAACATTATGTCGCTCATGTCAAGATGATAATTCATGTCCATAACACGGCAGCATAGACTCTAATACCCAGCAAACATGAGTTGGGAAGCATTCACAAGCAGTGGCGTCATTTTCGTAATGGCATTAAATCACGTTAAAAAGTGAAAACCCAATACAGTATGATTCATCAGGTTAAACCTTTGAAATTATTTTTTAACCAGAAAATGCATAAAATTTGATTATCCTTACCAGTTTACTACTACTAGTAAGGAAGGATTTCAAGAAAGTAACCATATCAACAGATGTACAACACAAAGATTATTTAATCAATGAAATATATCTTGAGTTCTTGATCTTGCAAATCTAACAAATAGGTGATAGAGGGTAAAATTCATTGATCTTTTAAGCACAAAATCAATACATCACAGAACTGAAAAACTGATCATGGAATGCACATAAAATTTCCCATGCAGAAGTAGTAAGCAAAGAAAGTATGTTTTTCCAGTAAAGGGGGGGGGGTTTCAATTTCTTACCCTTGATCAATAACTGCCTTTGCCTAAAGCTAGATAATTTCTCCGCAGCTTCTCTATGCAGGTAAGAAACACATCTTGCAATTCCACTCCAGCTATTCCCAGCAACATGTTTTCCAGAAAGAAAACCATTGAAATGTGCTGATTCCAATGCAGAGCCTCTTGTTGCTGTAATTGCTAGATTAAGATTTAAAAAAAAAAAAAAAACCTCTAATCACCATGATCGCAAGATTAAGAATATCAAAATCTAAATGCACAGGATTTCATATTCATCAGGTGAAAGAGGTCCAGTTTATGATGACTCCTAGATACATAACTTTTGTGGATAGAGTGACACCTTTAGAAAGAAACTGATATTTCAACTCTATAAGAATTTACCTTGAAAAGGGGCTTGAAAGATGAAGTTAATAGGAAGACCCAGACCAAAGCCAGCTAGAGTGATACCTACACTGAAACCCACACCACAGCCAGCTCCAACATAGCCTACCACTTCAGGACCAAATCCTGGACCCCATCCAACACCACAGCCAATGCCGACACCCATGCCCCAAAATGCTCCATAAGTCGGATGAACAGGGTTCCACCTTTCATATCTTCCGAACAGTCCTTTTATAATCATTATGACCTGAGAACAATGGTAAACAAGATGCTATTTTTTCAATTAAATAAGAAAAACTATACAATATTATTGCTAAATAGTAACCTTCTTCCAACTGCGATATCATGATTAAACATTCAGCCAGATATGCAAACCAAATTTCATTCTACATATAAGTCACTAATATCTAAGAAATACATCACATGACATCAATTGAAAAGTGGCAAAGTTGGTCACTGAAAAATAAGTCACCAAATCAGGAGCTATGAGTACATGACTCTTAACATATGAATTCAACTCAACATATTCAAGGAAAACAAGCAACAGAGATCAGTTCAAATATCAAGCAATGAAAGATATTCCCACAATCAAGGCCATATCTTTCCCTTCAGCATTTGAAGTGAACTGGGCAACAAAACCAAATCTTGCTTCACCTTAAAAGCCTGAAGCGTTTACTTGTACACCAGCAGGAGTATATTTTCCAATGACTAAAGGAGATAAGAAATAGACATGAACAGCTTAAGGAATGAGAAACAATCAACCATAATTCTTTCCCTTTTTGGACCAAAAGTTCTCCAGCGGATAAAAAATTAACTTGTACTATTGAGGAAAAGGCGAAGCACTAGAAAGTGATAAGGCAGTTTTAGCCAATATCCAATTAAATTCACTTATCAATTTGCAACAATCCAGCAGAACTATTCTTCTGCATACATTCACAGAAAACTCATAATTGTTTCTTGTATCCCAAAAGATGTCCCATTTCCATGTCAATGATGAGCAGTCGTATCTAAGCAAATCAGCCAATCGTCGTCTTTCTATGAAAATGTCAAAAAGAACTATCCGCAGGAATTTCAACTAAAAAATAAGGCAATACGAAGTAAGATGAATAACCGCCAAGGAAACTTCTTTTATGGTAACATATAATAAAATGCCCACACAAAATAAGGAATTAGGACCACACTATGACTATTTAGTTTAGTTAATATTACTCAGAAAGATTTATTTTCAGATTTTGATTGCGGGACAAATAGATTTCAAGGATATCTTTCGGATGACTTTCCTAACTTTTATCAGGATATCTTCACATCGAATGCAAGATCAAAAGTGCACAAAATAAAATTGAAACATAGATCTCGAGTTATAAAAAATGGTAAATATTAATAGCAATTTCGCTTCCATGTTTTAACGAAAATTCCCATCCTTCTAACTTCTCAGCTCTTGCTAACAAACTATTTGACCTCAAGTATTTGACGAGATGCAGCAAAAATGAGAAACACACAAAGCAGCTTCTTATCAGTAAGGGTGGAACAAGATGAAGAGAATGAAACTGGAGCGGGAATTATAAAATATTAGCTTACCAAGAGACTAATGCGATAAAAATCTTCTCGGAATAAAAACAGCTGCTGGATTCACTGTAATTTCTTCATTTGTTCATTCATGAGTACGTTGAGTAGTAATCTCCAACGCGAACGGATGTTTGAATTTCCGGGTTGATGCCGAGAGGAGTAGTGTCTACAGTAAGGCTCGTATCCAGCAAACTTATCCGAAATGCTTATTTCCATCGACCCAGAAAATGACCAGACCCGGCATACCCGGATTCGGACAACATAGAAAGGCTAGCGTGTGGGCCCAAAAGAACTGTCTACAATTTACGAGGTTGTTCACTACTTATAATTAATTAAATTGATTGTTCATGCCTTTTATATCTTAATCTTATGTATTTATTCAATATGCTTGTTTTTAATTAAATTAAAACTTGTATATCTTTATAAATTATTTATTTTATAATAAATTTTGTTATTACTTTTATTAATATATTAAGATTTATTTATTATGATTTGATTAAATGTAAGTATACTAAATTTGTAAAGTTAAGTATATACTCTCTCCAAATCACAATATACGTCATAATTAACTAATTCACGATTTATGAATAATGTTAGTTTTACCTTAAGTTTTAAAAACATTCATATTTTTTCATTTATACACTCATTGAATACTCTATATAAAAATTTTAATAATAGTAATTAAAATTTCAATGTATGACTTTTTTTATAAAAAAAAAAGTAATAAATGAAGTAGGGGTATAGTTAAAAAAAATTATCTAATACCTATATTTTTTACCAGATAAATTTTTTAAAAAATGCCTTATATTATGATAGGAAAGAGTAAGTTGTATTTATAAGCTTTATTTGATATAAAAAATAGGTCACTTGATAGTTGTTTTATATTTTTTTCAATTATATCCTTATTTTATTAAGTAATTAAGGAGGGTATTTTAAATATCAAATGACATATTTATTAATCTCAAGAGTACGATTAGAAATATGTAAATTTTTAAAAAAAATTAAGATTCTAACCAACCTTTTTTGGAAAATGTTAATTAATTAATAATAATTATATTATAATTAAGAGAGAATAAGTCTTATCCTCTTATAATCACTATCACTAATAGTATTATACCCCGTGCATCGCATGGGCTAATTACCAAAATGGGTAGGGTAGATTTAGGCCCCGAAAAAGAATAGGTAGAGTAGATTGCAAATAGGAATCCATATCTTTGCCGATAGATGATGAATTCGCATGGAGCTATTGAAGAATCTTTATAATTTGTTTGATTTATTTGTTTATGAAAAAACTTACTTATTTATGCATCCACCTCTATTTATGTGTTTCATTAATGAAGAGTCTATATAATTCGATTTGGTTAAAAACATTACTTATTCAATGTTTATAATTCACATTAATTTTACTGGTACATACTTATAACATTTTCTATATATTTAATATCCTACCATCCCTACCATAAGGTTGAGTTCACCGAAAAGTGATTAGTTCCTCATAATGTGATGAATTAAAGTTTAAATTTTTACTAATAGAGGTGTCAACATTTAATGATAGATCTCACCTTAATAGAATTTTCTCTAATAGAAAGATACTTGTGGGCAATCAAAAATGGTAAGTTATCTTAATGATAACACCACCTCTTTATGAACCCAAGGTTTAAGATTTAAGCCTCGTATCGACACGTGTTGTAAATAAAAAATGATTACTTAAAAAAAATATCCTATCTTGTGCATTTAAATCAACCAATAGGGTTAAGCAATACGAGACAAATAAACTGTTCTTCAAGAGCTGATGGAACATATTACAAAACTATCAAGACATAGTTTTAATCCTGCACTATAAGAGATTTCTTGTTTTTTTCTTTTTTAATTAAGGGCAATTACACACACTTTACAATTGAAGTCACGCACACCCATAGGCCACAGGGCGGGCATACTCACAAGCTTACATTCCACACTGAGGAAAAGACAATTCAAGCCAAGTAATATTTCGTGCAAAAACTAGTTGGTTCTAGATTCCTTTCATTCTCTCTCTTCCATTTCTTTGATTCTGCTTCCTTGCCACTGAATTTTTGGATGCACACGCTATTCATGAATCACATTCTCTTCCATACAATCCTTTCATTATCCTCTTCCCAGCAACATATACCATGTACAGTGTGTGCGAGTATATATAGATTATTTAGTTTTTATAAATATTAATAATAATATTGATTTAATGCCATATGTGTTTATTATGTTGTCTAAGTGTGAGCAAACTGAACATGATATAGGAAGTTCCGTATCAGATAAAGTTAGATTTAATAATTAATATGAAATAAAGAAAAAAAACCTCTAAACTTAAGCCTTAAAGTTTTGAGTTAATATAATTTAATATCATATGTTTCTACTTTGATTATGCTACTCTTACCCGTTTTCGGGTGGTCGCTCTCATTCTTAACAAATGGTATTAGAGCTTGGTTTAAGTTGAGACCTGTAAATGTACGAAGTCTCATATCAGATAAAGTAAATTATAATCCACAAGTTAAAATATATGCTGAATAAGGTTTTGCTTATATACATTTGTGAGGTCTCTTTAATTTGAATGGAGCTAAATGCTTGCTTGGAGAACCTAATGGCCTATTTAATTTAGCTGCAAATCATTTCTTATTGTAATAGATAGAGATAATGGCCTTGACATACACAATTGAGGTTGCCATAAAACCATGACTTTATTTAAGAATCATCTTAAACTCCAACTTATTTGGTCAATGTCTGAAAAACCCATGCTTGGAGTGCGCAATGTTATAGTTTTGTCTAGAAACATTGTGGCCTTTCACCGTAGGACTATTAGGATGCCACTAGTAACTTATCCTATGGATTACATGGGGAGTGAGAGAGAGAAGTTCTTGAACATGATTCCAACTAACTTGTTAAACTATGTTGTTATTTTGGAGACATCTTCAGCCCATCACATGCAGTGTGTTCAATCGCCTAACTTGGCGAAGGAAGAAAGGTCGGTGGAAGAGGCACCTGTTGAGAAGATCAATGGCACTAGTAAGAAAAGATAGAGTTCCACGGTACCTAAGTCTCCTAAGGTAAAGAAGTCCAAAAGACGACCTCGTACGTCAAATGATGAGAATACTCTTTTAGCTGATGGGCAAGGTCTGGAAAGAAAACTACTGAAACTGTAATAAATGAGATTGACATGGATATCTCGTGTACTCCTATTCCAATTTGTTCATGCACTGGGACCCTCAACAGTGTTGCGAATGGGGTTCAAGTGGTTAGCAATGTACGTGTTGCACAACAAATATGTCAATTTATCCATTGCTAATGAGTACAAAGCGACATGATATAATATCGCCAAATATCTCCACTAACTTAACATATTAATCATAAATTATCATGATAATTAAGAACAAACCATATAAGCCTTTACCATAGTAAATAGAATTCATTTATTTCAAATGAGATCCCAAGCTTTTACCTTGTAAACATAAAAGATTTATGTCAAACAAGTTAAAATTATATGTATAAAACATATAAAAGTATGAGATACTAATTTAACTTGAAAATATTTGCAAATAGAATCAAACATGTCATTTTCTAGCAAAACAAGCCATCTGCCACAGTCAAGGGACAATGCATCGTGGCTAAATGTTTTTTGTGCCCTATGCTAAGACATATTTATACAGAACATGACAGTAACATGATGTCAAATGACAAATTTAGGGCCAAACTTCTAGCGAGTCCCAAATGTCCATTCCTAAGTGAGTGATGTGCAATTGAATTTCGTTGCAATGCCCCCGAAGCTTAATTGATATTTCAACATTGATGTCATTCAAAATTATATCTTTTATTTTACAATTGGTAGAATAACAATGGATTTTGGCAAATTATTCAGGAAAAAAGACAAAATAATTACTATACCTGATGGGAATAGTTTTTAGAGATATATTGATACTAAATATTTCCTTATATGCTAAATATCTCACCTTCTTTATTCTTTCAAAAATAGAAGTAATAAGGTCTCACATAACACGAGTTTGGATTTAGTTGGAAGGGTGGTAATAATATTATACCCAATGATGGAATAAAAAAAACCCATATGTTAAAATAAAATAATAATTACCTAGATACTATACTTTATAAAATATTTCCTCAAATACCACAATCGCATTTCTTCAAAACAGTTTGCACCTCAGAATTATTTTAAATATAATTTTTTGACTACTTTTTTTTAAATCTAATTTGAACTTAAATATGCAACGCCTACAACAACCCTATCAGTTTATCGTTCTCCCTCCTCCATGCTTGATAAATAACAATTTTATATATGTTTATTATTTTAATTTAGATTTTAAATATTTATTTGAGGCTAATTGAGTTTAATTGAATCTTATTTAATTTTATTAGTCAATATTTAACTATTTAAATTTAACTATCTAAATATTTAATTTTAAAATATAAATAATATCTTTAATATTTTTACACAGTTGTTATTTAATTTTATTTTATTTGTACAGATTTTCTAAGACTAATTTAAAAGATATTGATGAGATTATTTTTGATAAAAGGATATGGACAAGCTCAAAGATTAAGTCAAAAATCTAATCTTATAGATTTTATTTATATTAATTTTGGATTCTTTAATGTAATTTTAGTTAGGGTTGAGGGTAGTTTTGACTTTTTAATGAATTATTAGGGTTGCCTGCAGTGTTGAACGCATATGATTAGCCGCAAAAAAAACACTCAAAATGAATAAAAAAGCGACCCATGGCTTTTACTATAAAAGGAATGGGAGACGCGGTGCAAATATTTTGGAGGAGCAGGGTCGACGTAGGTGATAGCTGTTCCTCTTTCCTTTCCTTCAATTTTATCAAGCGGCGGCTTCTGATGCTTTCATGCAGTACTGTTTGATTTTTAATTATACAAAGAGCTAACTTTTTTAATATCATCATTTATAAATTATAATTTTAAATTTTAATTAAAGTTTTGATATTTAAAAATATTTTATTTTATATTTATTTTAAATTACTCTTTTTTTTTTTACCTTTAAATTTTATATTTTAATTATCATTACTGATTAAAGTAGCTTTATTGCATAATTTTTGAAAGAGCAGGGGCGATGTAGGTGATAGCTATTCCTCTTTC